AACAGCATGGATCCTGATCAGACTGCGCGGATGCGCAGACTGGTCTGGATCTATGCTGGTCGCAAACCCATTACGTTAGTTTTGTCGTGACGCGGCTCAAATATTGGCTTAAGAACATATTACACGTCCACCCCCAGAAGAAAAAAAGCACTGAATAAAATAATTGTTTGTCATAAAAGCAAAAATTAAAAAATAAAATAAAATAACGAAATCATAATATTATATTGACTTTCATACACAATATTAAATGAATGTTACTTTATCAATTGCCAAAAAGAAACAGAATCAAAATATGGCTCAGGGAATTTGTAAATTAGTAACTTTTTGAAAACTATAACGGGGCGCCGAGAAAAAAAAAGCTTTTGAGAAACAAAAATCATTTCTAAGGCATAACGGGCCTTTAACGTTCAGAAAACTATTATTGATGGTTTACAACTCCAGACAAGAATGAGTATTATAAAGGAATGTAAGGCATGATAATTCTTACTTCCTTGTATTTTTGCAATGTCTAGGGTCTAAATACGTATAATTAGATACAATGATTACAACCTGGATATGTTCTACATATGTTTTGGTCTGATATACCATTTTTTTACTCTGGTGCACTTTCGAAATTCCAGCCTTTTGCGATACTAAACTTTATGTTTGGTTATGGATGATGTCTAATATTGAATGGTATCATTTCTTTGATTTTTTTGACTGATTAAAAAAATTGACTTAATTGACAACTTAGTGCTTAACAAATTAAATGTGACTATAGCCAGTGTTTTAACTATTCTTTAATATGTCGCAAGCAAAAATATTTTAGAAATAGTCTTTCTAACTTGTAAAAATAATTTATTGCTAACGAAAAAGAATGTTCGCATTGTTTATTTGTTGTTTATTTATTTATGTGCTATGAAAACAGAGCGGGATACTTTAATGGATTTGTAACTTAAAACTTTTTTTATGAAATAAACAAAGTACCCTCCACCTATTTAACTACGAACTATTTTTATGACAATAACAATAACAGTTCTATAACTACTATAACTCATGAACAAGCATGCACTACTATCATGAAACTATATCATGAGTTAAATATTAAAATTTTACTATGTTATTTTAGATTCACTCAGAATTAGTCGATGTTTTGCGACATCTTGCAGTAGGATAGTTTGTATCTCTTGATAGCATAAATAAATGCAGTGGGATTGTTTACAATTTTTAAAAAGAAAGATGACTATTCCGAAGTACCAGTAAATGCATAATTATGTGCAAGTAACGCCATACAAATACAAGTATAGACTGTTACAAACAATCAATCAAACATGCAAGAGCAAACGACAAACATCTGTGCAGTAATGAAATCAGCTTACATATATTGATTAACCTCAAAAACTTAAGATTTTACATTATACATGTCAAAACATACATATTTTAAAGAATATCTTATTAACAAAAAATTAATCTTGCGAAGTTGCGATAGGCTATTCAATAATCAATATATAAGAAATAAACATATGCCTAAATTTGATGTCCTTTTAAATATCTTCATACGATAGATTTATATATCACATTTTCAAAATGAATTTTGCTCATTATCTGAAAATGAAACATGTGAAGAGTTTAGGAATCGAAGATCCTTAATACGACAAGAGGAAATAACAAGATAATCAACTTAAAGTTACACCTGACATATCTATGTTCGATAAGTATCAGGAAAACTTTCATAAAATATTTATTTAACTGATTTCTTTGTATTTAATAACAGTAAAAAAACCTACTCACTATCGCGATTATATTTATAATTTGACGTTTGTTCTACAGAACCACGGCTTTAATTGAAATTACGGCCATCGTTTATGTATCAAATTCTGTATATTAAACATCGAACAGCGTTCTTCTTATATGGACATGTATATATCTTTGTATTTTTTATTTGCTATAAATATTGTATAATGTTCCAGGCAATGAAATTGGAAATTGGATATCATTCTTTAAATATAGATGAAGAAGAAGCTTTATTATGCAATACATCATATATACATCATCCATAAGCATTACATCAATAAAAACATACGATCTATCAATTCATAATACATGGTGAGATGGCAAATTATTGTATATACATATACGCACAAGTATAAAATTTCTTCAAATAAACAGGCATTATGATAATACGAGGGGCGTTCAATATATTCGTAGACTAATGTCCTCATTTTTTCCATTTCAGGAACAATTTTAATTAAAATTGGATCAATTGATAGCGTTGTTATTCCTGTTCAAAACAATGAGCATTCAAATTGAATGAAAGTCATTTTCATAGCCATGGTAACGCGCCAGCGCCCCAGTCCAAATTCTTGTTTTGAGTTATTATTAAGCGTGAAAATATACTACTTTTTTTAATAAGATAAACACTTTTTAAACACTGGAAAAGTAAATATGGCGTTTGGACGCCGTTTCCTGAAAATATGACGTTATTTGGACGTTGTAGTTTGAATAAACAATATTTTCGCTGTCAGACCACCAACAGAATTGACGTCAGAAATGATGTCACAAGAAAAGCTGGAAACCAGGGCAATTATAAAATTGTGCACGGATTTTGTGAAAACACCGACTGACATGCAAACAGTCGAGGGAAGACATCTGTTAGCCGTGCGTTGTTTTTTAATGACATAAACGTTTCTCTGAAGGACGAGAATTTATTCAGCAAGACACAAGTTTTAATGAATAATTGTCATGTACTTGAAAAAAATATCAATACTTTGAGGTGGAGCTTTTTGTCTTCAGTCAGATGGCGGTTTTTTTTTTAAAGTTTTTACAGAAAATCAACATGTTTTTTCTTTTCGCCCCCACCAAGATTAATTTTTAAGACTAATGTTTTATAAAATGACACTTTCTGATTTATATATACTAATTTTGGTGGTAATAACAACATGTTTGAGTAAGAAATGACACTTTTACCTACCATAAAGGTAAAACAAAACTAGAAAAGTTCCAAAATACTAGGGATGATAAAAAATTATAAATATTTTTTTTATTTACATGCATGGAAAGTTGGTCTTAAAATTTGAAGATAAGTCAGTTAAACTGTATAGATTAGGAAAATAATATGCAAAATCAAGTTTGAAATGATGTCCATTAGAGGTGTACTACCTTAAGGAAGCGTTAGAATTTGATCGCCGTGTAACATTTATAGGAAGTTATCTTGAGTATAGGCACCGTACATTATAGTTGAAGATGCGAAAGGTAAAATTTATATCTGTACATAAATTAATGTCTTTGTATTACAGAGAAACGATTAAAATTGTAATAAACGGCTGGTTGGCTTATAAAAAGATAAAGTTTTATGTACCCAAAATTAAAAAAAAATAATGTATTTAATTTCCTGTTTTTTTTTCTAGATTTTTTGTTTTATTTTAATACGATTATTTTATTATATTGCAGTTTTTAAAACAATTACAATAATCAAAATATGTTGTTTTACACTCCCGAATTATAAATTGTAATATTTTGATTTTTCAGTAGGATTTAATTATATATTTTTAATATTTTCTTTCCATTAAAATAAATAATAAACAAATTATCAAAATGCATCTGCAATAGTGGTACGAAAACATACTTAATCAATATAATAGCCCAGGTGCCTCCAAAATATTTTCAGATATATGATTTCCTTAATTCTAGAAAAATCTAGATATTCAATAACAAAGTGAAATTCATCTTCTAGCTCGTGACAGCTAAGGCATATTCTATATTCACTTGACGACCCGATCTACCAGTCTCGACAGCTATCCTATGCGATGACAATCTTAAACGTATTATTGTTACTTTTTTATGACTGATAAGTAGTTACTGAATCTGTAATCAAATACATGTTTATAAAATATAGCCCGATTTGATTCATTTATAGATATACATAGTTATCCTAAAATAAGACGTTGTTCAACAATACTAAGAAAAGCTTTTTTATTCCCACACCCCCTGCAAAAGCCGAACATGAGTACAACCTAATTTTGATAGTAAAAGTGTCACCATGATAAAGACACAATGTATCCTTAGAGGATTCTGATCTGTATTATTTTGCAGACAATTATACACTTGTTTGATCTATTTAGCAGAATTAGACTACACATTTTCAACCAGAATTTTATGATATTACAATATTAAACTATTTCTCAGCTGTATTCCCATGTTTCAGCGTCAACAAATCATTTTGTGTTGAATTTTTTACGCCAAGTTATCTTTTACAAAAACCTAAATGTGTGCGTTCTACCATTTAGCCTTTATATACCCCGTACATATAATATGTTTAACATGTTTTATGTTATTCTTCTCGAATTATTTCAGCGACAACACTAGCTTGTAGAGAGTTTCTACTTCCGACACTTGAAGATCGTTCAGCACGACATTATAGTCATGTTTCTCCTTCCATTTGACATTTTTCCAGTTTCAAGAATTATGTTTAATCAGCCTTATGATCTGTTTCGTTTTAAGAGTGGTCTTAGGACTGCTTGTTTGTGATTTGTAGGCTTCATAACTTCTGATTCATTTATCTTTTGCCCATTGTTCTCACAGTGAAGGTTCATTAAAGGAACCCAACTGCGGATGCGCCTAAATTCGCCATTTCATTTTTCAATGTACACTGAGTTTACTTAAGCCGGAAGCTTGCATTTCACACTTATAAGATTTTCTTCTTTATTTCATTTTGTTATGATTGAAAACCATCAACGTTTAATATAGTGAGAATTTTCAATACACTTATAAATGAATTTGACTTAAAAACAGTGTCTTCAAATGTTTATAAACATAAAGTTGTTATGGCGACAAGGAGATTAGAAAGTTATTGTCCCCTCAATAAGTGATTTTAATCTAATAAAGACAACTTCTATATAAATTTGCCTTTCAATTAATTAAATTCCAAATTGTTATTAAAGAAGTACATACAGTATACCTGGTACATCTGTATACGTATGCAGGAAAATGCACAGTATCTTATACTGCCTTTTGTTAAAGCTTTACTTGCAGTTACGTTGATAGTATGTCCATGCAAGTCCGTCTATATATGAAATGACTTCATGGCCTGTCAATTTCTGGATATAGCAGACTATTTGATATGGACAAAGCAAACCCATGTAACAATAATCAAATGAATTACACTGTGGATCGGACAGACATAGGTTTTGACAGTCATTTACCGAAATGGATTTGACAATTTTAGAATCGTGATCCTGTGCTATTATGTGTCTGTATATCTGAAAGTTGTCGGCATAGCCATTTTGACAAGAAGCTAATGTTACACATTGATACATACTGTAGCTATAGCTTAGATATGGCGGGCATAGAGGTATACAAGAGGTTGAAATTGGTGACCAAACTCCAAACTCACAAGAGCGTACAGGTCTACCAATAGCATATTGCCCATGCATGCATTTGTATGTTACGTTTGAGCCCTGCATTATATACAAGTCTTGTAAAATACTCCAGTTTGATTGTGTAAGATATGTTGTTCCCTCTGGTGTTGTAAGGTATGCGTTATCAATTTCAAAGTTTGTCAGCTCATCTGGGACAGAGCAAAGTAGTAAACATTTTGTTTTATTTCGATAATTCCACTCTCCTGTTTCGTTACATGTAATTGTTTTAATACCAATCAACGTGTAACCAGTATTACACTCAAAACTTATCCTTGACCCGACATCGTTCATATTTCCAAAAATCCTTCCCTTATTTAGCCAAGGCTTATCTCTACATTCTTCTACTTGGCAACGAAACGTTGCTCCTTCTTCAACGCATGTCCCATTGTCCTTGCACGGATTATCGCTACAGGGACTGTTTCTTCTTGATTGCCAGCCATTTCTGTCAACATAGACCCATCCAGCAGCTTTTGTAAGTTCAACTGAAACATTTTCAGATATGGAATTCAGTTCACAAAGTTTTTTCAAGCGGCTATAATTTACAGAAGCACACACATCCTTTGCTTGACAGGTTTGCACGCAAGATTCGAGTGATAAATTTATAATTGTCCTAAAACTATATCCAGTAAGTTTTCTAGATGGCCGTATTTTGCCAACATGGATTGCAAAACCGAATTCAAAAAGTAAGCAAAATGCATAAACTGAAAATTTTAAAGCACGATTGAAAGCCATCTTTGTTATATATTACGAAATCCTCGAAGATTGTGTTATCTTCCGCTGAAAATCAAACAGTAAAATGAAACAAAATGCAAAACAACTAAACAAATATTGCGTTGTCATGTGCGTTTAATATCATGTGAATAATTTAGCAGTAACTATGACAGCAGTCAACATACAGGTTTCCGCCGTTATAAAACTATATTTTATTTAATAAAATATAACATTGCATGAGTTTGACGTTATATATGTATTTAAATTCTACGGCGCATAGCATCAACATTACAGAGGCAAGTTAATCGCTGTTCTATTAGATTTAAAAACCTTGATTAATTTCTGGTAACAATAATATTAATTAATTTTCCCATAGAATTACACCATGAGCCTGCTTCAAAATGATAAAGATGTGATTTTTTAGAAGGATGAAATGTCTGACAAATAAAAATGACAATATTTTATACAGTATAGGGGTAGCCAACTATAAGTATTTTTTATTTATTTTTTTTTTGGGCCAAAGGCCATATAAAACCAGTTTAACAGCCTTTAAAATTAATAGGGAAGAATTGAATATAAGAAGAATTTTCATTGGTCATTGAAAAATTATAAAATGAAATCTTGGATTTTCATCTGCGTTCGGAAAGAAACTATAAAGGATAGTGTTTGCTATTTTAAAATATTGTTTTAAGGATAACTTAAATGTGTGATTTTCCTACACAAAAAGACACTGTACTCAGTGATATCCTATACATAATACTGTTCATTTGTATAAGGTTGCTATTTCTTGGATAATCGTGATGTTTATGAGAACTACCATTTTCTACATACACGGCAGCTGTCAATTATAAATTTATTTCTTTTCCCCCAAATAAATGAAGTTTGTTGTTTTATATATTAATTTTTAAGATTCTTGACAGGTTGCTAGCATTATGGCCCTATAAATTCACGGTTCCTTTCAATAAGCAGGGTTGTGCAAATTTATGTCAGCAAGGCTATATACTTTCATATATCCAATCAGTGCTTATAATTATCAAAATTTATAATAATGCAACTTTTTACCAAAAACCAAGTTTATAAGGATCCCAGCTTTCAAAGAAGTGGAGGAAAAGCTGCACTTACATAAGATGACATCAGATGTTCAGCTACTTATAGAATTTACGCCGCAGAATAAAAATCCATTCAATTATATAGCCATCATTCTGGTTTAAGTTTTAAATTTTTTTAAATAAGATATTTGAATCGAGAAACATGGCACCATTAAAGTACAAAACACAAAAATAAAGTTTATGCACACACACTGATAACCTTCTACAATGTACATTTTTATTTGTGTGTGCTTCAGTCTAAAAAGTATATACCGCCTCCGTGGGCGAGGGGTTAGAGTCGATGGCTTCTAATCCAGTTACCTCTCTGGCGTGGGTTCGATCCCCGGGAGATGCTTTGGTAGTTTAGCACGGAGAAAGGTAGTCTAGTTCTGGTGTAACTCTCCATGGACGATGGTTAGGAAACTACCCACCTATATGACTGAAATACTGTTGGCAAAAGCCGTAAAATGAAACAAACAAAAAACAAAACAAAAATAAACAGTATATACATGTATGGCATAGTATTATTATAATCTATATTATAATTCTCTCCTACTGTCCTAGGATGATAACTTGAGCCTTTGTTTACATAACAAAGACCAATAACAATGCGAAAAATAGGTTAGGCAGATCAATGCCACAACCTATAAAATTGAAAATAAAACTACATGTTATCATATGTCTTGTTAGCGCAGTAAGTAGAGCAAACGTGTCAGTAATGTGTTTTACCCGTACATGCAGAAGTTCGACTACTGGTAAGACACATTTTTTTACCTCAGAACAATCAATTGATCAGAAAACAAGTTTGACCGGTTTTTTCATATACATACATGAATATGAGATCGAATATTTTATTACACTGCGATCAAAAAAAAATACAAAAAGAAAATAGAATGGAAATAAAAAAATAAATATATACAATAAAATATATATTATAAGAAGAAAAGGAAAACAAAAAATAATAAATAATAATGATAAAAAACAGAGTAAGAAGAAAAAACTGTGGTTATAAAATGGCACTAAGTAGGGTTCGAACCTATGAGTACAAAACACTAAAAGTTACAATTTCTTCGATCTACCGGCAAAGCCATAGCGGTAATACACAAACGATTCTGTAAGAATAATGCTATATAGTATAATGTAAGTGTTCACTTTTACGATATCGGATAATGATTCAGATAACCCCGTTTTTGGACTTTCCCATGTACCGTTAAGACCAAATTATCATCCTAGGACAGTAATTCTACAAGGATTAAATCTATTAAGATTTAGTCAAAATATTTATATTATAGATACGTACGTGTAGGCAGATGTTTTATATGTGGTATTACAAAATTGCACAGCCTGAGGGTTTATATGAACCTATTTGATTTGTATGTTATTCAACTTTCTAAATAGTTATTCAACTTTCTATAGATCTTTATTCTGAACTGGAATGGCAACTTCATCCAGGTCAAAATGTGGTGCATTCAAATAAAAGTAAAATGATATGGTTGACTTATCAATTTGTTCAAGCAGTCACACGCTCGTTTTGTTTACAATTTTGAAATATTGTTTGACTCATCATAAATTTATATTTATGTAAAATTGTTAACCAGTAATGTTTAACAATGTAAATAATAGAACATGTCATGTCAATTGAACAAAGCTGAAACAGCCTGTGATTAACTATGTTATTTTACTGTTAGGTCAGTATTAAATATTTAAAACATTTTATTCAGCAAGAGTTCCGCAATATACACCTGATTGCAAATTTACAAAAATGTATCATGGACAAAAATTTGATCTTAAAGATAGATAGCAAATTCACTGTTGTAAATTGCTCAGATAATGATTTATTTTATTAAATGTAAAAGAACAACAGCTGTCACGCGAGTGACAAATGCCCCCCCCCCCGAAAAGGTTTCTAAAGCATACAATATTATGAAAAGAAAAAGAGATTGAAAGAACTACATGAATAATTTATTGGTATTGTTCTTTTGAAATGAAGTGCTTAACACCTTGGCACAAGGGCGGACTTTTATGTGGTAGACTTTAATGCCAAGTTATTTTAAAATCCTTCAATGCATGATAATATTACAGTTTGGAAACTAATATGTACCTTCAAACTCTTCTTATAAGCATAAGAACCTTCAAACTATTAGTGTGACCTTGACCTTGAAGGTAGGAACACGGGTCTTACACAGAACACGTTATTCTGATGTGGTAGACATTTGTGCCACGTTATTTTAAAACTCTTAAATGTGTACCTAAAAACTCGAATTAAGATAAAGTGAACTTCAAAATGTTAGTGTGACCTTGACCTCTAAGGTATGGATGTAATTCTTAGAAGAGACACGTCGTCTTTATATGGTAGATATTTATGCCTAGTTATTTTAAAATCCTTTGATGCATGACAAAGTAACAGACCGGACACGAATGTGTGTACATATTAACTCTAATAGTGATAATGTGAAACTTCAAAATGTTAGTGCGACCTTGACCTATGATGTAGGGACGTGATTCTTGGACGCATCATCTTGATGAGGTAGGCATTAGTGCCAAGCTATTTCAAAACTTTTCAATGTATGACAAAGTTACAGTCTGGACACGAATGAAGTGGGGACGCACAGACAGACAGATCATGCGATTTTAATATACCGTCCTTGGGGGCATAAAAATTCTTAGTCTAATTTTCTGTCGGTTAACAAAATTATCCATATATGTGATAAAAAATTGAACAAAATAAATCAAATCAAATTTGCAGGAGGTAATTGCATAAAAAATAAAACTTGACTAGAATTGATATTACAAACTTGCATGCCAGATATAAATACATTCGTTGAAGTCCCTCATCAAGACCTGTCTGTGGACAGTGCACAGAAAATGGGGCATAATACTGCATACATGCTTAGCAAGCTTACCGGCTCTTGATAGTGAAAAAATATTTTTAGTTTGAAGTGGTTACCTTTGACAGTTTTAGAGCAAAAAGCAAATATTCTAAGTCAAAAAGGGAAATAATTAAGCAAACATAGGTTTTCAGGATTATCTACCACTTAGAAATGCATTTCAAATTTGATAATGTACAAAACAGGGTATTATCTGAAGACGAATAATTTATTATACCTGGAATACACATAAAAAGAGTTGCTGCAGGGATTTAAAAGATCTAAAGGGGTTAGCTGATATACAACATCAGATAAGACGGGTTAGTTGAACTAAGGGGGTTAGTAGTTAGAAGTGATTAATATGAATTTTTGAGAAATCGACCTTAGAAGAAAACAAGGGTGACATTGTCACAAAATGTCCATCACAAAAGTTTTAGGTGGAGATGTGGGCCATAAGAAGTGTGGCAAGCAAGTTGGTCCCTATACACATTGTGTGACCTCGACCTTTGTTGCAGGGACCTCAATTTAATATACGACACTCGGCTTCACAATGGTGAAAATGTGTGGCAAATTACATTAAAATCTCACAATGCAAAAATTATAGAAGTTTTGCTCAGAACAATCGTTCTAAAAAGAGATCTAAGTGTGTCCTTGACCTTTGACCTACAGACCTGGTTCATGAGCAGTGCACTATGTCTCATAGTGGTAAAATTCTGTAAAGTAACATAAAAATTCCTCCATGCAAGTAGGAGATATGCTCGGGACAATATCTGGATATTTGGTCATCTCTAGTGATCTTGACCTTGAAAATATATTAACTCAAATTACATGTGTCACACCTGTAGTCATGACTTATACAATTTGTATTACAATCAAACAATAAATGATGACTTAATGGTCCCTATAGTAGATATATCTTCATATTATTACATAAACTTTGACCTCTATGTGTGATCATGACTTTGGTTGCAGGAACCTGAATTTTGCGTGCGACAACCCGCCTCACAAAGGTAAACATTTGTTCCAAGTTATATTAAAACTCCTTTATGAATGGAGAACTTTTGCTATGGACAAATGTTTTTCAGTTACCTTTAAATGTGACCT